AACACTTTTTTGGCAAATCGCATAAAACTATTTGCAATAGCGACTTGTCCTGTTAAATTCTCTGTAAATTCATAATTACCTAAGTTGTACAATGTAAGTTTAATTTTTGTTACAGTATATACATCAAAGCTTTAGGTGAAGTTGAAATTTTTGTTATATTTTATTTATTTTGAACACTATAGGCTTTTAAAATTGGTCTTGCAGGTTTAGGTCTTTTTAAAATTAATTAATGGAAAATTTGATAAAGAGTATACAGACCTAATTTATTTTAAGTCATTCTAATAGAAAAAACATAAACTACTTGACTGTACAACTTAGGTTTAAGTCTATTTACAATTAAACATAACAACAACGTTTTTGCCTTCGGTCTTTTTTCATAATAATAAGTCATTCTAATACAAAAACATAATACAATTAGGCTGTATATTTTATTACTTAGGTCCATTTGTTACTAAAATTAAAACGATATTTTTAGTTCAGTCTTTTTAATTAAAAGTTAAATCAACATCTCTGAACAATATTTGTTGTGTTAAATCTTAAAAAACTAGCGCATACTATTGTTAATTAACGAATTTAATTAAAAAACAATCATTCATATTTATCTAACGAGAACATTATTTTCCAACAAATAAAATAACTAAGGTTTATTTCTAGAAACTAATAGGTAGGTTAAGAATCAGTCTCACAATTTTTCTAATTGGTTTATTTTATTAACTATCTAAGGTACATAATTACTAAAAACATTTTCAAACTAAAAAATGGAACTAATTATTTACTTGAACTTTTAGTACCATAGCGCTGGTTTTCTGGTAACTAAAAGCTTATGAGACAATAAATAACAAAAAAAAAAATTATCAGTCACTCTTATTTCTTATGAAATGTTAGTAAACAGGTAGGTACACGACAGGTTACAAAACTTGCACCTCTACGTGTCTTAGTCATAGCTACATAATATTTAAGGATTAAAAGGAACCCCAAAAATAGAAATCTCTGTAGGACAATAACTTGAGGCTTATCAAAGATACAAGTATAAAAATATAAATAACAAAACAAAAATATCTTACCTAACCTAACTTCTTTCTTTCGGTTAACTTCTTAAGAAATTATTCAACCATCTCAGTCGTAGTGATAATCATAGTAGACAAGTAAAAGAAAAGATGAAAAAGTGCTCCTCATCATAATCATACATAATTCGTTTGTAAAAGTCCTCCACAAGACATCGAAGACCGCTTTTGAATCTATTATTTAGCATCTAATATAGAATCATAAAAATCGGAATAAAAATTTGGTATCAAATTTTTGCAATTAACTCGCGCAAATATTTTTTTTTATTCTCGCTCAGCACTTGTATTCCTGTAAGCCTGAACTAGTGCTAATTGCTCTAAAGGTAACATTTTAGTTCGTCTGTTTCGTACATACTTCAGTAAATTTTGCTGGTTGTATGATTCTTTAATAAAAAAAGAAGATGGGTAATTCCTTGTTACTTTATATATTTTCGTGTAACATCGGTTAAGCATGACAAAATAAAAGATTTTTGATTATGAATATTTCCTATTTTACAATATGCATCGAAAATACGTTGCCTATGCATAGAATCAATTTTGGTAGGACACCGCTATCTACATTTATCAATACAAGGTGGTTAAATATGATGCTTCAATTATTGCATTTTTGCTATTCATAGAAGTTTTCCCGAATTCGTTCACTTTTTGGCCTTCATTTGTTTCCAGTTTTCCGGTTGTCTAGTGCGCTTTCTACCTTTTGCCACAGTAACAACTCCATTTAATTCATCACTTACGGAAACCGCTGCTGAAGTTGATTCCTGTTCTTGTTGCATTATATTCTTCCACATATTCATCACTAGAGCTGTCAGATGACGAGAACTTGAGCTCGAAGAAGAAGAGCTACTACTACTAGTACTAGAATTGTGAAGTGTGTAGGGGGAAATAGCAACTTATGAACCCTTCTATTATCTTCTTGAACATTAAAAGTAGGATCACCATCACTTAAATCTGCGTCACTATTTTCAGCATTGATGGGCGGAATACGCTAATTTATAGGTGTTCTTACGCGGCCTTCAGCATTTTCCGGTACTTTTAAGCATCATGCAAATTTTAAGTAAAAACGAAAGACATTCCATTAAGCTCAGGATCAATAAATAGAGATAATATTGTAACAACCTTCCGCCATTATAAAATAATTTTCAAGGAACCGCAGATTAACTATATTCAATTTAGCGATTTCAATACCTGGTTAGATGACCAGGACCTTTTGAAGGAAGATTAGAATTATCTTCAGTATCTTTAAAATATTTTTGTGCATTCAAATACCGACGATTTTCTGCTTTTTTTCTAATAACAGCTACAAGTAAACACAAAAATTAATGAATGAAAATTACAGTCAGTAATAAATTAATACAAAAATAATATATATTTAGTTACCTTGACATCAATACTTTTATTATTATTATTAGATACAGTATTTTCCTGCAAACAAAATTGATTAAAAGGTAAGTAAAAAAAAACAGGCAACTGCAGATAAAGTACCTTCAATATAATTATTACATACCTGGTTAGGTTCTTTATGAGGAGGACTGCTATTATCTTCATTATAAACAAAATCCGTATTTTTTTTTGATCGCACAGAAGCCATTGTAAAAAAGAGATACAAATAAGTCTTAAAGTAAAAGAGATTTTTTACGGCCATTTTAGTTTTAATAAGTCATATTACTGAAAACTAACGCACTATAAATATTACAGGCAAAAATATATAATATTTTTAATGAAACACAGACCCATTACTAAATTGACCATCAGCAAGTTAACTAGTAATAGTATTAAATGGACTTATCGATAAACTATGACAGTAGCAAAAAAAACATTGACAATATATTTACTTTTAAACTGACTTAAACATTAATGTGATCACGAACTGTTATTATTTTGTAGTTTTAAACAGACCTAAAATTAAATAGTCCGGTTAAATGTATCTAAATTTTAGGATTAGAATGCCTCGTTGTGTAAAGAGTCAAAATAAAACCAAAAATATGTATAAAACTTACCTTTCATTTCGATATAAAAAGGCCTTAAAAACTGATGGGTCCCTTTTATGTTAAACACACTAATTGTTATTCTTGTAACGATTGAACGAACACTTAATGAGTCGGTGTTATGTCAATCAATGTCATAAAATTCGTAAATTTGAAAGAGACCTAAGAACTGTAAGAGCAGGAAAACGCTGTTTTTTGATGAGTTTCTCGCAGTCATTTCATGGATGGCGTTATTATAGTAATGTCAGTGCATTTATCTCATTTTACTTAAATTTTGAGTTAGGTCACTCTAATACTAAGCGTGCGATATGTCCCTTAAAAATCTTATAAAATTCAACACGTGATCTTTTTCGTTGACTCGGTTTTTCTTTGGTATTCATAGAATTTGTGATGAAGCGAAGAAAGGAGGAACTAAGTAGAATTACTCATTATTCTAATGTTATTCGTTTTGTTAGGTTGGAAAGTTGAAGAGTTTCGTTTTTGTTGGTTTCATTTGGTGTTTCTAGCATATTGTGGTAAAATGTTCCATGTCATTTTCCCACATGTTACCTCACAAACAATACAAAAAACAACACATTCAGTGTGTTCAAAGACATCCCAGTTGTATGTTGTCTGTATCTGTTTGTTGTAAAATGGAAATATCCAAGTCTAAATTGTGTTGGCGTTCAATTGTTTTTTTTTTTGAAAAATTGGTAAATTAATAATTTTTAGTAGAGAAGATACAAAAACAATGTCAGTTTTTAAAAGATGATTTATGTGTTGGGAGAACTAAAGTTGGTTCTGTAGGACTCCTTTTGTAACTGATCAAAGCTACTTGGAGGTTTTTAGTAATTGTAGAACTTGTTTGTTTTAAAATCGATATATAATTAGGAGGACTGCAAAGTAATGTCAGTGTATTGATATTAACTTAAAAGGCATACATTTGTTAATGAAAAAATCACCCTCATTATCAATAACTGTTTGCAATCTATTGGACAAATATATCCCAGATTGACTAATTTTTCAAAGTTTATATTTCTACTGTGTTGTAAATGGACATAAGATTGTGTAATGGACGTGTCAAATGGGAAAGAATTGTTTTCACTGAAAATACTTTTGAATTTATGCTAGCTAATTTAAACAAAATGTCCATTGTCATTTAGTATATATATTTTCAAGTGGGGTGATGTGCAAGTTATCTGTTTGTTACAGAATGTCTCTGTGGTCCTATTAAATGAAAAAAACCTTTAGTGTTATAGTATCAACGAGTTCATACATAATATATAGATTTTATTTTAAGAATTGTTGTAGGCTCAATTTTTCAAATGGTGTATGACCTTATTTTGTTATTTGTTCTAGTATTTTGCTGCTTAACTCGCTATAGTTAAAATATTTATTATTGGTAGCATTAAATATTCCTTAGTATTGCAAAAAAAAAATTTCATCTGTTAAACTTAAAGCTATTGAATGTGATACTATCTTCTTGCTGTTGTAATGAATGACTGCATTTATTGTAAATATTAATTTAGGAATTCCTAAAGTGTTGAGGGCATTAGTGACTTCATGTAAACTTTTGCCAAAGGCAGACTGACATGATGCACAAATAGGACGCTCCAATACTCCTTTGGTAGCTTCTGCATGTAAATTGTAAAATAAAGCAAATAAAGCTGGCCACTACCTGCATCAAAAAAAGTTAAGAAGCAGTGCTTAATTTTTGTTCTTGGCAAACATCTGAAAGTAAGTGTCTCTAGACACCTGCTTAATCTAATGCTTTATTAAATTTAAGGTTTTTAAAGTTTTCTCTTTGAGTTCATTGTGGCTGGTTGTCCTACATTAAATTTACTGTAGAATTTGGCTCTACAGTTTAAACGGTATGTCTGTTGTTGATGCACCTAAAATAATCTATATTATTGAATAACAAATCAATTCTATCTTAAATCAATTCCTTAAAAAAAACGGTGCGGGCTGCACCAAATACTAGTTAAGTTTTAATAGAAATTACCCTAGTTTCTCAGTAAGAGATTTTATGTAATCATTTGAGAAATAAAGAAAATTTTAAACCATAAAAATGCATCAAATTTAAGTCACCGAATAATGTATCATGAATTATAAACTACTCAATTATACTCCTATGCCAGGGATCTAAGGCTCCGTTGTCTCACTCTCTGCAATGTCTCATGGCACTCAGCTGGGAACTGGAAACAGTTCTGTCTTTAATGGATGTTGCTGCGTTGGCTTGTCCGGATCAGTCCCTTGTTTTTACAGCCTTGCGCCCTCACACCAGCAGTGTCAGTGTGCTTCGTTAGTCTAAAAGCTGTGTTTTTCTTTTGCCTTTATTCTTCTACGCCTAGTTCTGAAGATCCACTTCCCGTCTCCAGATTCTCTGGCATCTCGCTAATTTTAAGTTTATCTATGCTGTCCCGAAGTCTCAGATGTAGACCTTCCAGGTGTACCTTCTCCTCCTCCTTTGCAATGTTGCTACCCACATAGTACATGGAGAAAGCGGTGTGACCATCATGTCCTGGCTAAGCCGGGAACCTCCCTGTGGACGATTTTCCATTGCTTTTGGTTCGTCCTTTTTCTGTTTTCACCGGGGCTGCCGGTGAGAGTTAGACTTGTGAGATGTAGGTGTTCTGCATCCACGGCTCATCCCTCATCCCGCAGTTCTCACACCAGTTAAAAAAGACTAAATTTCAATTTACCACCAGTTCTCAAGTCAATGCGTAGAACGAAGGAGAATAACTGGCAAGAAACCCGCCTCCACTCTTTTTATCAGCAAGTTTCGTTTTACAGTCTTTAAGTACATATTTTGTTGTAAGAACGTGTTCCTCTAAACTCCAAGCATTTTCATCTTCTAAATGTCGATTTACGTCTTAATTTCCCTTTACTAGCAGTTTTTGTTATACATGGGATTTAAACTTGTTTATTGAGTGCTTGCACTTCACTGGGGGTTTTATTAAATAGGAAGGGATAGGAAATTTGAACATAGGAAAGTACTGTCACGTTTTATTATATTTTTGCGCGTTTAATAGCAGAGATTAATCCTTGTCTATTTCCTCTACACCGACCCAAAAGGTTGCTTTTCGTCAGTATCAAACCTGATTGCAGTTAAGTAACTTGTAACTATAAAACAATATATAACATACCAAACTTATACACACCAACATCTGTTAATTTATTTTTATCTGACTCTTAAGGACTCCATCGCTATCGAATATGTTTTGTATTTTACATACAATAAATGGTGCAGTCTGAAACATTTTTGAAACTGTATTGCAATCATTAACCATTCTATCTTTTGTGCCATATACACAATGGCACCTTGTGGTAGCTGCGGAAGAGGACCACCACCAGTTTTTAAAAGATTGTCACGTTAAGTAGATTACTTATTTATTTTTTCACAAAAGCTGCTCAGAATGGCCACCCCTGGCTGTAATGCATGCTCTACACCTTTTAATACAGTTGAGGCGCAATCTTCTGCTAGCAGCCCTAATACTTTGTATATCTATTTTAACAATTTCGAGTTTCTGTAAAATTTTCCCTTGTAGTAACCCAGATCAATCGGTTAGGTCTGATGACCAAGATGGCAATTAAAATGTTTGCGTCGGCCCATCGTCGTGTTCGGTTATTTAGTTTTTACAGTATAGCATAATGGGTGGGGGTGTGTGTGGGTGGCAGTGGAATCTCTGCTTCATTCAAGATATTGTCAAATGTCTTGTTTTAAGCTTTGCAGGTGATTATATTTAGTACTGTCAATTTTCTGTGGTCTAGTATAAAGTCTTGCGGGGTTTGAAACTAATGAATTATTTAGTTTTCTCTGTGGTAACTGGCCCAACCAGCTGAATGACGTAATTTATATTTGACTTCACCATCCACATACAATAGTTCTCTTACGTCTGTCACTGTAGCATCGCCAGTTTTTCTACCCGGTCTTATACTTGAATAACCACCAGGAACGGCGTCATAATTTAAGAAAAATGTATAATCCAAATGATGAACTCTGCAAGGCTGTGAAGGTCTTGCTTGTTGCATTCGAGAAACATAATCAGATGGAGAATAAATAGGTCCTCTGAACTTTTTTTCTAATGTGGAATGGACGCTATCTACCTCCATCATGGTATGTCCTTTTTCTAGGATAATTCGATTGTTATTCCCATTTCTGTACTTAGGTTTGACAATGAATTGCACAGTATTTTATTTTTATTTTGGAAGGCACATCTGTCGGATATCAAAATAACTTTTGTTGTACCTATTACATTGCTGTTTTATAAAATCAATTATGCAACTAATAATATTATTAGCAGTTAAAAAATCTTCAGGAATATTACCTTGCTTGTAACCTACACACGTGGTGCACTGGTCCTTACGGGGCTTGAAAATAGAAATCTTACTTGCTTTTAATATTTTTTAAAACTTCTCTCATTTTACAGCGTACATGTTATTGCTCTGGCACCAATAAGTGTAAATACCATGTCTGTGGCTGAAGGATTCCAAAGATTCCTCGACGTAAATTCTGGAAGTGTTTGCTCTACAATAATACTTTTGGTACACACTCCAACCATTTGCAAACAGATTCAGACTTTAGAGTATTATTTATGCCTGTTTTTTTAGCAATCTTATCTACTTTTCGGATTGGTTTACCCTCCTGACTTTTATCTTTTTGATCTATTTCGTTGTTAGGTCGTACCCAAAGCTGTAACGTGTCTTTCTTTAAATCAAAGGTAGCTAAAAACATTTCTCTGCAGAGACGAAATTTAACACCATACTCACCTGGTAAATAGCAATCGAAGACAATTTTGTCCTTGATTCTGCTGAGGTTTTGTGACGACCTAAAACATTTCTTATCTGCACAAGTCCATTAATGTAAGATTTTTGGCATCCCAGAACAAATGCCAAAAATAACGAAAAATATCATCTCGCATTTCATCACTGATTACGACGCAAGAATAACTTCCGTCAGACGTTTGACCTGCTCCATGGTTACAAGTTTTTTCTTTAAGTTTTCTGCCAACTTTAGAAACCTCGATCAATTCTGCCTTCTCACAATTTTTGACCGTCGTGAAGTATGTGCTCCGTGAGGCGGTGCACTTGATGGGTACATGAGTGGGCATTGCGGAAGCCGAACTGTTCGTCCGGAAGGAGGGCCCGGGAGTTTGAAATGTCCCGTAGGCGTGTGTTGAGAAGTCGCTTGTATATTTTAGCGAGCGAGTTAAGAAGGCTAATAGGTCGGTAACTACTAGGGAGATTGCGGGGTTTACCCGGCTTGTGAATACCTATGACTACAGCCTCTTTCTACTGATCTGGAAACCACCAGAAAGGCGATAATTAGATCAGGCAGAAGTTTGATTGCCCTATTAGATATCTTATCGGGACCGGGGGACTTCTTATTATGAAGACGCCTGATAGTCGAGTTAACCTCGTCGAACGTAATCGCGGGGAGCGGTTCGTCGGCGGGCGGCGAGTTAAGTCGTAGCGACACCTCGTCGTCGACTGTTTGTATGAACGCGGCGTCTACGCGGTTTATATTTGGCGAGCACTGAGTCTCGAGACTTTCGGCTAGACACTCGGCCTTTTCCGCGTCGTCGAAGGCCGGTGACTGGTTAACGCGAATTAACGGAGAGAGTGTTTGAGTTCCCTCCGATTTGAGGACTCTCGCGAGGGGCTAGTACGCAACGTGAGAGGGCGTGAGCTCGGCGAGATGTCGATCCCATATGTCGCTTCTAAGTATTCGAATGCTATCTCTAACGCGTCTCTGAAGAACGCGGAGATTGTGTCGGTTTACCTCTGTAGGGTATGTATCGTACGCGCGGGTCACACGGTTCTTAGCCGTTATTGTTTTGCTTTTTTTTGAATTGACTTTTTCGTATTGTGTTCCTGAGGAGCCACGAATACTAACCAATCCGTTCTAACGGTAATCAAACAAGTCAATCCGTTCTATACGGTACCAGCCACACTGAATATTCAGTGGCAGATCATCAGTCGGCTGCCTGCGCTTATACGGTGTGGTCGTGAATTCGTGATGGATCCAATAGAAGTGATAGCTATTTATGAGGCATTAGAAGAAGAGAGAAGAAGAAAGCGTAAATATTGGGTTCATCCCTTAAATACTCTTCGACTAGAAATTGGGCAATTTCATACCCTGTATATGCAACTAAGACTTAATCCAGATAAAGCATTCGAATATTATCGTATGTCCACAATCATTTGATGTATTGCTGAATTTAACTAAGGACTATATTACCAAGCAAAATACAAAACTTAGAACAGCTATACCTCCCGAAGAAAGGCTGACCGTTACATTAAGGTATACTATATGTTGTAGGTGATTGTTCGTATGTACTATAGCCAGGATGGTTGTAAGAATACGTTTGATTATGAGACATGTTAAATGAGTTACGATATTGGATTTTATAAATCAAATTCATCACTTCGATTGTGAACTCACAATTTTGTCTTTCATTTAGGCTCTTAATTTGAGGAAGTAAAGAAAGTAAAAATTTCGTGTCGGCATCTTCTTCGGCTGCTTTAGGTGATTGTTGCTTTTTATTCATTGCTGTAATTAAACTCTGTTGAAAGGCTGTCATTTTAGGTTTTTTTTCATTCGGGAGGTCCCTGAAACTTCTTCAATTTGAGGTGGAATAAAATTCTCAGTTACAGTTTCTTGTGCGTTTGCATTTCTCGGTTGAGTGTTTGTATTCGTTGATATTTCATCAAAAGAATTTTCATTTTGGTCATTATCACCTGCCGGAGCGCTTATGTTCCCCGATGAGACCCGAGACTCTTTCACCACATCCAAAAATCGCAGCAATTCAATGTTTTTACGTTTCTTAGGTGCACTTTCACTTCTTGTATTATCTTGTTTTTTTTTTATTTTACGTAATAATCTCTTAAGTGCTTCCATTTCTTTTGAAGTTCATCTACTGTAAAATTAAATAATATAAGTATCAACAAAATGTCAAAATAACTTAGCTTAGGGTGATATAGCTCCGATAGTGGCGCCCCCAATAGAAAATGATTAATTATAATTATTATAATTTATCTATACCACATATAGAAACTCCGCTTCGTTGACCCTCTCAAGACTACATTTAACTATGTTTTTACATATTGTATTAGCGATGCGAACTCTTAAGCCACGGATACACTAGGGGACAAATGGAGCAACATGTAGCGGAACATGTTCCTCAACAACTACGTGGAATGTGCCGAGATACATGTCGCGGAACATTTTGTCGACCACACTTCTCAGTGTTTATAGAAATGTCGCCCGAGGAGGTTGTGGCTATTAGTGCTGCGTACATAGTAATTATATCGAGTGTGTTGAAACGTAAGAGAAAGAGAAGGTGGTGGATGTGGAATTTCTTATTACAACGAGAAAGAAGAGTTAATATTCTAAGTGATCTCCGAATGTCTGACGGATCGTTTGTGAATTTTACTCGCATGTCATCATCTGATTTTGAAACTTTATTGCAAATGATCGCACCTTCCATAGCCAAACAGGATACAATATTACGGAGCGCTATTAGTCCTCATATCAGACTTGCCATTACATTGAGGTACTTGTCGACTGGAGATTCTTATGCTTCTTTGTCGTACACTTTTCGAGTGTCAAAACAACTTATACGTAAAATAGTACCAGAAGTTTGTAAAGAACTGATAATTAAATTGAAGATATTTGTAAAGGTAAGTTAAAGAAAACGCATACATTTTATTTATAATTGTATTTTAATCTTCAGTTAAATAAATTTTAAAGAGTACAAGATGGATATAGCGACCAACGTAAATTAATTAGTATTAGTGCCATCAATGCTATTAGTGCTCGAGGAATCCATAGTTTCAATTATATTTTGTATAATATATACAATATATACTTTGGATTTATATTCTTATGGTCGACTTCGGAAGGTTCTCAGGATTAATAAAAATCCCACCGCTGCCACCAATTTGTTACGCGACCCGTAGCGTTTATGTTTAAAAAAAAAAACAATTATCAATTCATTATACTTTCTAAGCAAGTCATTGAGAGCACCCGCCGCTAACGTTGCATAGTCTGAGCTTTCCGTTACTCTAAGCGGATCATCTGCGTTGGGCGACACCGGATTCGGCCGCGTCTCACTTGAGGCCCTCGGCTCGACCAGGTGTTGCTGTAAATTCTCATTATCTATGATAGTATGGTCTGTTTCTGGTGGTGGGGACGTAGATTCGTTCTGAGACTCCACATTCTCTAGATATGTTTTAACTAAATCTCGGTATTCTTGTTTCCGTCTTTGCCCTTTGATGGCTTCAAAAGTTCTACCGAACTCTGGTAGAGCATTAAACAGTTCTACGTTCCCACACCGACCCATCTCTCTGGTTAGTTTTGCCTCGGTCCTTGCCATGAGTGCAACCTCCTCCTCATGCCACCTACGCTTCACCGCATTGGGAGCGGCCTCCACATTCGCTTCCAGGGGATGCGCGGCACGCTTCTGCACACGTAATCCCCTCACACTCCCACAAACAGGGCAGACACAACCGGGCGCCTCCAGCTCGGAAGCGGCTCCGCCCGATCGACCACCCCGCGTTTGGTTTATCGCCAACCCCGACCCCAGTGAAGGGCCGGGGCCCACGTTTACTTTAATATTTATCTTATTAGTGCCAGCGATATGATTTAACCCCTAGGCATGGACTGCTAATCCACACCCCAGGTTCGCCCGTTCGGTTTTGCTATGGCTCCGGTCCTAAAATACCAAAACGGAACTTGGGTACAGGTGTAAAGGTTGTAAGACCCGCAACACCCTTTCGGAGCTACAGGGGGGGGGGGGGGGTAAACCCCGCCCTGCCCCACCTAGGTTAGCGTCACGCTGCTCCTTGGAAACCCAAGGACAAGCCAGCCGGAGCCTTCAAAGAGCCCCCGATTAGCACCTACGTCTCTCCAGCAAGCATGGGATAAATATTTATTATCTTTAACAGCCAGTAACCCTTATTTGCGGCCAGATTTAATTAAGCAACTTTATATGATAATTAATAGAAAGAAATTAGATTCAATTTGGCATATAATTAATGAAAATAGGTTACAAACGTATAAATTTATCGAAATCATACCTGGCTGCAAAGACGTGCGGCCAGGTGCGCAACGGCAACCATGATTTTTTAGAATCTTCATATTAATTACCGTGTTGTAGACGTTATTTTATTTAAAAAACTAGCTGACCCGCACCTCCCACTTCGTTGGGTGGTAAATAGCCCATGTCACTGTCCATCCTTTTATTTAACTATCTCCACTTTAAAAAAAAACATCAATTCATCACTCCGTTTTGCCGCGAAAGATGGACAAACGACATCATCATTATCCACAGGCTGCATAGATTGTCTTTATGAGGATGTTAAAGAAATGATGATGAAAATATTTAAATGTAATTAATACTAAGTTTTCACTTCTGCCGGGAGTCCCGAAGTGTAACCCGGTTGTTTTAGGATAGATAAATAAAGCGATTATTGTAGAGCTTCTCTATAAACAACATTAGACGTTAAATTATTTTCTGGTAACAAAATATACTGATGGTCGGGAGCCCCGACCCATGATCATGCGTGAAACATTCTTTTCGTAAATCAATTCCTACTAATTTGAATGTTTGGCCCTGGGATTTGTTTATCGTTAGTGCGAAAGAAATTTTACTGGAAATTGGAGCCTTTTGAAGGGTATAGGCAAATCAGTAGGAATCATGGGTATTCTTGGTATATGAGCTAATTCACCTGCAGCTGCAGGGCCGGTGATAATCTTCGCTACTATTAAATTATCTTTTAGCTCCTTTATAAGAAGTCTCGTGCCATTACACATGTTAGGGGGGTTTAAATTTCTGAGAAGCATTATCGGCGTGCCTACTTTTAACGACAGTTCATGAGGTGGTAGCCCAGCGGGGTTCAGAGAATTTAAAAATTCCTGGGAATAGTGTACTGCGTCCTCGATGTTAGTGACGGTGTCTATGGATTTATAGCACTTCACCCGGTACTTTCTGCATAATTAAATTGTTTATTTCGTTGACTGTTTCATTCCTGGGAGAAACTATTGCTCTACAACACAGCCAACGAAAATCATTTTGATGTAAGTTTTCGATGTCAGGATATATAGCATTTATCAGACTATCTAAATTATGGACTATTTGGCCTAGAGACTCATCTAAAGTAACTGCATAATTGGTGCCCAAATTTAAAAATGGAAAAATTCCTTCTCCAAGTTTCAGCAGCTGTTGTGGAAAATTGCTATGCGCATTTCCATGTAAGTGAGCTCTCATGTTGGTGCGCAAATACAAATGTTGAACAGATGTCCAAAGTTGAGACGATTTTAAACATGCCTTCATAATATCTGCTCGCGTACCTCTGTTGACGACTGGAAGCGTTTGTCGGAAATCTCCAGCAAATACAAAAGTGATACCACCCATAACATTAGCAGAGCTTCGGAGGTCTTTTAAAGTACGGTCCACTGCCTCCACATGAGCTCTATGACTCATGGTGCATTCATCCCATATTACCAACGACGCGTCTTGCAGTAACTTACCAAGAGGCCCATTTTTCCGAATAGAGCACGTAGACCGATGATCTAAAGATACAGATAGCGGGAGTTTAAACGTAGAGTGAGCAGTATTTCCTTCGTTCAAGAGAGTTGCAGCAATTCCTGACGAAGCAACTGCAATCGCTATCTTCCCTGATTGCCGTATCTTAGCAAGTATCAAATTTGCGAGAAAAATCTTTCCGGTGCGTCCAAAAAAAATAATCTCCCCATGTTATTGTTCACGCTATCCACAATAGTCTCAAGCATGTCTTTGATCTGGTACTAATTTTGGCACATTGTCATTTACAAACGCTGTTAGATCATTTCTGTTATACTGTTGTACCATTGTGTCAATAGTATTATTCTGGGTACGAACGGGAGAAGGTAATCCAAAATCACTTAAATTTTTGTCGTTTAATTCTAGAAGTTTGTTTTCTATTTCAATTAATCCTTCATTATAAATGACTTCAGTAAAGGGTAAAGTGTTATCCTGATTTTGTTGTCTGATACGATGTCTAATATCTTCACAGAACTGATCTTTGAAAGTATGCCATAACTTCAATGGTTCCGATGGTTGACAAAATAAAAGTATGACTACGAATAACTCCCTTAGTTTTTTTGGACAATGTGATAACGAAGCTTCGCTTAAAGTATTACCCCAATAGCCGGATCCACATCGGCGATCCTGCGATCCGTGATCCAAGATCGTGATGCGTGGAGCGTGGATCGTTCTAGGTCGATCCAACAGCAATCTTTGCGATCCATACTGATCGGGCTAAATTCAGTTGAATTTTGTCTGGCTATGGAGTCACACGTGCAACGGCGGCGAAGAATAGCAGCAGCAACAAGCTACATTTTACTTGTATATTTACGACAAAAATTACGAAAACGGAAAAGACAGTATTGGGTTAAAACTATTTTTAAAAACCGGTTGGAATATGGAAATCGACTTTACAAAAAATTCATTGATGATGGAGCTGAAGCTAATTTTGCACGAATGACTTCAAATCAATTTGACTTATTGTGTTCACTATTGGAGAACAAAATTAGAAAGAATGATACAAACTATCGTGAAGCCATAACTATTAAAGAAAGACTACTAATAACACTAAGATTTTTAGCAACTGGTGATTCTTACGTCAGTCTACAGTATCTTTTCAGAGTGTCCAAACAGTCAATATCAAAAATTGTTCCTGAGGTTTGTGAAGCAATCATCGAGGTTTTGAAGAATTATGTAAAAGTAAGTGTTGTCGAAGTAGTAGAAGTTGATGGAAGCTGAGTTGTTGTTGATTCTGAAGGGTGTTCTGTATGTGATGAAGTTGAAGAGTAATATCCATAATTTTCTGGTCTGCATCTGCCTGTGTCAGCTTCAGAAATAATTTGAGATATAGCATGTTTTACATAAGTTAACGTTATATGATCATATTTTCGTAGTTCGGTAGCTATGTATTGTCCAAAAGCGGTGTATGAATCTGTCTCTGGTTGTTGTGGTTGAGCACATTGATGAAGTAGTTGAAATGCTTCCGAAATGGATTCATCTGTAATTATAATATCTTCGGTACCATGTGAAGATGTTTTTTTTTATTTTGATTCCTTCACTAAGACGTACTGAGCTCACCTCGTAAGGGTATTAAATGAACAAAGTCTCGAACAAAACAAACTATAATTTCTTACCTGAACCGGTAATACGACTCTGTTTTTCTCTGAATCTACACTGTGAATTATCCATAACGGCGGATCGCGCGATTCAAAATCACAACCGCCAAGACCGCGCGCGCCAAGCGACTGAGGCCCCTTTGTGCATAAACAAAAAACCGACAACAAATGGATCGCACGCGGCGAGGAGCGCGCGCTCCCCGCCGCGCACTTGGATCGCGCGCGGCACGTCTACACTTCACGCTCCGTGGAGCGCGCGATCGGAGCGCTTTGGATCGTCTGGTGTGGATCCGGCTAATGGTATCAGAACGGACATAGCTCGTTTGACCAGAGTTGGGTAAGCATGACTCAAAGAACACCAAAACTCACCAAGAGTTTTGGCATGAAATTCAGCTCTCAATACTTCTTTAGATCTCATGTCAATTAAATCATCTTTAATAAAATCTTCATCGCTGATATTATCCATATCAATTAAAAATGGACTACATGCCCATGTTTCTTTATCAAGCTGTTCTGGGCTAAAGTAGTCTTGAAAAGACTTTTGCAATGCTTCCAGATGGTCTGACACCTGTGTTTGTACCAATTTTGAATTACTTTTCATAGTGCCGTCACCTTGTGTAAGGGACTCTTCAAACATGGAAAAATTTGCAAAGTTATCAGCTTCCCACCTTCTTTTCCAAAGTGGCAGTTTACCTGAAAAAACCTTCACTTCATGGTCACTGCATGCCCCTGAAGAGATAGGTTGATCTCGTTTAAATGGCTGAATATATCTGCTAAGTACGCTAGCCCTTGTATAAAATGTTCGTTGTCAAAAGATTCGTAAAGCGGATTTCCTTTATCTTTCAGGAATAGTGACACTTCTACTCGTAATTCAAACAAGCGCTTCAAGACTTGACCCCTTGACAGCCAGCGAACTTCTGTGTAGTAAAGCAGTACTTCATTTTCTGACCCCATTTCTTGACAAAGTTTTTTAAACAGGCGGTGGTTTAAGGCTCTTGCTCTGATGAAGTTAATTATTTTCACACAAGTGGACATAATATCCTTCAAGAAAGTAGGCAAAGTCCGTGAAGCCAAAGCATGTCGTATAAAATAACAGATCTTCGCAATCTTGTTCGTGTTGTTTGCTGCTTTGTGACAGTTTTAAGTTGTAATAATTCCAACTTTTTCTTCTCCAATTCCATAAATTCCTGTCTTACATCTTGTGCACATTTTCGTTTGGTGCTCGTATATTGTGTACTTGAAGATGCACCAGCTATGGATTGGGGAGTTGAGGACCGCTCATCATCATCATTATTATTGCTGTTTTCATCAGTAGTTTCATCTAAATTGCCTTCATTTATTTCTGGGGTAACATCATCTTTTATGAACAGCATCATTTTAAAATAGGGCCACATTGAAGTGTTTTGATCTGCTCCAGCATCACCAGAACGAGAAACCGGAATTTTCTTAAATTCTTTCATAAATTGGTCCCGAATGTTCTTCCATTTTTTCCTTAAAGCCTTTTCTGTAAAATCAGAAATATTGTTTAGTGTTGATGATTAGTGTAAATATATATAAGTTGTATAATTATATTTTTTCAATTTCGTATGGGTGTTAGTACTGTGTCTGAGATTGTTTATAGTACCTGTGAAGCTATTTGGAAAAACAATTTGAATGTCCACATGCCACAGCCATCTGAAGACCAGCTTATGAATATTGCCTTCGATTTTAGGGAAATGTGGCACTTTCCTATCTGCATTGGCAGTTTGGACGGTAACCATTGTAGGGTTAAACGACCTAAAAAATCAGGATTGGCACTTTTTAACTACAAGCATTATTTCTCTATTGTTTTGCAAGCTGTGGCTGATGCGAGGAAAAGATTTTTAACTATTGAAGTGGGAGGTAGAAGAAAGCAAAGCGACGGCGGTACATTTAATGCCTCGTCCCTGAACCGGTTACTCGAAAGAGGCGCATTTAATATTCCGGAACCAAGAACATTACCTAATTCTAACATTACAGCTCCATATGTTATATTAGCCGATGAAGCTTATCCTCTTAAAGAATATATAATGCGTCCATACCCACAAAGAACATTGAATCAAGAAAGAGAATTTTTTAATAATAGATTGTCAAGAGCGAGAAAAACCGTGGATTGTGCATTTGGAATTATATGCAATAAATGGCGAGTTTTGTTAAAACCAGGCGTGCATGTTTAACATCAGTTTCAATAACTGATGTTAAACATGCACGCCTGATTATAAAACTTTGTTATTATAATATTGTATGTGGTTACGATTGTAATAATGAGTTCACAACTCCAATTCGACACCAAAGGCGACAAACTAGAACTGGAAGAAACAACAATCCATCAAATCGGGCTAAACAAGTTTAGTAATGTATTGCGTTTTTAGTACGCGCTAGCAGCCTTGGGCCAAACAGAACATCAGCATATGTGAACTTTGAGAGGACCAGTGCATCACAGAGTTTTATACGAAGATCAACACTTATATATTTTCTTATCTTATATAAGACCTTTAGGCGATAGAAACAATTGGATATTAAAGTGTTAATGTGCTTCTCAAACCTCAGGTTTTCATCAAATAAGACGCCTAAGTTGCGAGCTTCTTTCACCCGTTCAATATTAACGTTCCCCACGTGGATGCGCAGGCCTCTGTGTTCTACTTTTCTTATTATTTAGGGGGAATTAATGAAAGTAATAGCTCTACAGTTTGTTTTTTCAGGCGAAATCTTTTCCAAAACTCTCTATCATCCCATGTATTAAAATTGTCAGGTCTCCCTTTTACAACTCTGTCCTTTCTCTGATCAGGGTTAATTTAGTTCAGTGCCTGCCTTTCCTCTTCAATCGCTGCGTCGTCGATTTGCTCAAAAACATCCATTAGAATGTGCGTGAGGTAATACAATCTTATTTTATTTATTAAAAACAATTCGGTCTGCACAAACACCAGTAAGAGTAAGTAAGTACTTTCTTATATGTAAGAAGACACTAGCACTATTTGAGATGGTAATTTTGGTTCTTCACCTGTGCTTATCAGCTGTTGTTTGTGCGTAGATAAGTTGGCTTTCGCTGAAAGCTTCATTTTCTTCCAGGCCAACTTCACCTCAGCATCAGATCTGGTTTTACCAGTGAGTGCGCTTATTTTAGAAAATATGTAGGTCATAATTATTTGATCATACAGTAGTTGTTATATGTTAAACAACGAAGCACTTACTTTGTGGCTATTAGTGTCCATTCTCGGATTTCTTGATTAACCTTTCGTATGCTTGACCCACGCTCGTCATAATTCCCGTCGTGTGCCCGGCCACTACGAATCGCCGCGCAAAATTGTCTTGTGTTCTTATGCATGTGTGTGTAAGCATTTCAAATTTCGCGCCACATAGCGGTTACTTATATAGGATGTTACACTTTGCTGTTGATTTTTGAAAATTGTATAAGCTTACTTTTGGATATGAAAATTAAAAACAAATTTACATTTATATCTTTTTACTATTTACAATATTAATATACTATACAATATACTTTGATTTATTTAAACATAAACATAAAAAAAATTAAACTTAATACAAAGAAACACAAACTATACTAGACCATTAAATCTATTATAATAATAACAATTCATTATCAATTTATTGACAATCTATTTTAAAAATTATTATATATTACACTAAATTTTTAATAATATAATATACAAAATGTTATACAAAATAAAATAATAAATGATTATACATATAAACGAAAGAAAAAAAAAACTACTGCTAGCCCCTAATTGGTGCCTATAAAAATGATTATACAAATAAAATTTATAGCCACAATTTCTCTATTCCAGTATTCATCTACTCGTCCAGCTACCACGATTGAAATAAATGATTATAGCCCAACCTATAAAGATGTTGTTTCGTTTTTTTGGGAATTCGCGGAGATCCCGTCCACGGATTCGGCAGCCTGCGAAATTTGCTGCCACGCATATTCATTGGTCTGAGCCAAAGTAGACTCATAATCCCAAACATGAGTGAGCTTTGAGGATCTGTTTCCTCAAGTGGCCTTGTCCTTTAAGTATCTACGAAATATCTCGTAGTCACAAGACCAGTCGAACGATTCGGCCGGTATTTTCTCCTCCTCATCGACAAAATCTTTCGACCCTCCGAGGACCGCACGTATCTCTTCCACCGACATAAATTCGTCCTCACTTTCGCTTCCCGAATCAAGCCTTAGTTCCTCAGATAGGGGCCCGAGCATCTAAAATAAGTAAGAAGCCCTTAAGAAAACATGATTTTAATAATATGACAAATATAAAAAAAATATACCTCAAAATCAAACGCATCAACTTTCTCAAGTGGCATTCCGTTGCTTCCAGATTGCTCCATTATTCCGACCTACGGTTTTATACAATAGCTTAGTTTTCAGGACATGTTGATAAGTATAATTTAATAAGAAAATGAAAACGGGATAACTAAAAAATCCAGCAAATTAGACAAGCGTATCATGCATAAAAAACAAGCACATTACTTATGCACACGATGCACATTCATCTGGCGGATAGTGGTCGTACACCGCATGATCACACTCACACCAGAAATGTTTGGCCTTCAGCAGGAGGCGAATGTCGTTATGGCTCATGGCCATGCGGATATGCATGATCTCATGCGGATTCACAACCGCATGGCATGCACCACAACTTTGCGCTCGTAGGAAGTGCGTCTCTTCCCACGGCCATTCGCACTCCCCGTGTAACAATAACAAAAAGTCACTCCTGTTCAAAAACTTATCAACGTCTAGTACCACCACCATAGTAACCTAAAATAAAAGCAAATAGAAAAACATGCATATAATTAAAAAAATATATAATCCTAGGAGGAGAAAAAAATATTAAAGTTATTGTTAGCGAATAGCGAAACTAAGGTATAGTTTCGCATAAGCGAGGGAAAAGTTCTTTATAAATCTATATATATGTATGTATGTATATTTATGCCATCATGTGCAATAAAGTGTGAAAAATATTAAAGTTCTCAATTTCAACTCTCAATAATAACATCAAGCAAAGCAAAGTCGTTTTATAATATAAACATTTTAGTCATAACGACTAGTTAAAACTCAACGTATTCGAAATATAAACATCATACTGTAAACAATTTTGAGGACTCCGATTGCTTTTGCGACATCTGGCACGTGTAAGAACAATGCTCAAAAATGAGCATGTGTGCGTGGGGCTGTTTTGAGATTAGAAAGTTCTAAATATTTTTTAACTCCTCACGCGATAACAATTTTTTTAGGAGCCATATCATATTTGTTCGACGAGCCTGTGTAAAATACTTAAAGTCTATAAAGAGAAATAATTATAAGAAATGATACTTGAACGAATCTAAAATTAATAAAACTAAATAAATTTAAACAAACAATACATAAAAATAATAATACTAATAAAACTTTTAGATTGTATGCACTTTCATGATATAATTTTCTTTGGTGTAAAAATCTGTTTAATATCGTGTTAATTATCATTATTTTATTATCATATCTATTTTGAAGTGTTGGGACACGCTGCTTTATTGTAATTCGCTTCAGTAAGAGAATCTTTTTTTATAGTTGTTCGGCTTCTCCAGTTAAACTTGAGCGCGGATAGTGTGATGTTTTACAATTAGTGTTAAATGTTTTATCATTGTGTACTAAATTTAAATATATGTCTCTAAAATTTGTCCAATCCAAATAATTAGCAGAGAACTTAGGCAAAGGGACTGGAGGTAGTGGTAGTCTTGATTTATTTTATTGTGAATGTTCTGGAATAGACTCGCATACTTGTGTATTAAGTAATGTTTCCAAAGAATCAGAAATTAAGTTTTTGAGTTCCAAATAAAACGTCACAGTATCAGTATATCAACACACATACGTGAATCTAATTAGTAGTTTTCGTTCTCGTACTCGTGTATTTCCACATTTCTTTCTTTTATCGTAAAAAATAAATACATTTTAGTTTGTCACTAACTGATTTGATCAATCGCTGATCGATTACAACATCGAGCGAACATCCATGTTAACACGAAATATTACTTGATGATTAAAATTGTAACTTGATGTCCACCGTTTTCCCCGTGGGGGGGGGACCTTTCTCCCCCGCCATCAAGTCTCTCCGATTTCCCCGGATCAATGGCTGGGAAAAGTCTACTCCTACATTGCCTCATCCTTGTCCACCTTAAAAGGTTCTGCCGTCATACTTTTGAAGATGCTGTATGTATGGCAGCTGTGTCGAATCCGCTTCCATTGTTGGTTGCAAAGTGTGTCATTTTTTCTGTTGCACAATTGCTCTTCTAATTTATTATGAAAAAAAGAAGTCAATTCCTCTGTTTGGCTGCTCTGACTTTATTATCATCGTTGAGCCCTTTCTTATCCGGCTAATGACATGATCCGTCCCATTTTTTTCAAATGACAAAGGGTGCCGGCGAAGGCACTGATTTTCATTATTATTCGATTAAAATGAAATATTTCATTTGAAGATGTGCTTGTTAAAATGCGTTTTGCATCATGAAACAAGTACAATTACTAAAAAAAATATGAAAACAAATACATACGATGTTCGCGAGGTAAGCGCATGATCGAAACAGTAATGTGCCAAAATAATGTGCGGTTCGCACATTAGGGAAAGAACTTTAGCTCAATCGCCAAGATCGAATACTGAAAGTCACAGGTTTTGAGGCAGCTTCCAGCATCCACACACACACTAAATAACGATTATCGGGTTTGTCGGAGATTTCTTCGGTCGTACTATATATTTTGTTTAATCTTTTTATTATTAAAGTACGTTTTCGCCTTAAACCTGGTAAATAATTAATATTAGGACTCTCTCTATCGATTTACTAGCCTTGACAACGGTTTTAATTCGTCTTGTAGTATGAAACGACATCTTTAAAGAGTTTGATTAACGAAACAGTTACTGAAAATGAGGGTGGCGACAAAAAAATAAAAATTAGGGTAGATACAAAATAAATTATATAAATTAACCGTAATTTAATTACACTGTGTTACAAATGAAAAAAAAAACTGAGTACCCGCTTTGAAATATCATGTTTTCTTATTAATACTTATAGTTTACATCCTGGTGGAACCTCTCACCTTGCTCATCACTGACTGCACCAAGTTATTACAAATTGCGAGTTGCTAACCGAATTAAATGATAGATTTAATATAAGTTCCCGGGTTTCGGCACCAAAATATTTAAAATTGTCCAATCCAAACAACTACGATTAGAACTTGGGCAAAGGGACTGGAGTGGTAGTCTTGATTTATTTGATTGTGAATGTTCTGGAATAGTCTCGCATACTTGTGTATTAAGTAATATTTGTTACTTTATATATATATATATTGTATGGACAATATCACTCCTACATACTCTGTGTCAAATGTCGAATGATGAAGGAATAAAGTTAGTCCCTGACTCAAGCGTTCAATTTATTAGAGGCTATGGACCCAGAGCTTTTTAGTTTTATCTCGCAATTTTCTTGGACCTTGGATTTGAATAAGACTTTGTAGATTGAGATAAACTGTAATTAAAGCTGTGACTGTAAAAATGACGACAAGTTGTCAGTGTGCCTATACTAATAGGGTGGGAGAATTACATTGAGTGGCCTTTCGCGGCTGAGAAATCACATATAATACTTATTTTAGGAACAGTAGACATTAAAAAAAAACAGTTTGATCACCATTGTCAACATCGGTTTCCAATGGTGATCAGCGTGTTTACAATGGAGGTCAACACATGTCACACACATAATTACAGGCAGTTTCCCACCCAGTGCACTCTGAATGTGCCCAAAGCCCGCAAGAAGTGCAACGAAACCACAATTCGTTGTACTGCTGTGGGATCAACACCTTCAACTACGTTGGGTTCAGATTGCAGTACTTCAACAGCTACAAAATCTTCATCTGTAAAGACGTTTGGGTTTAGTGGAAATAAACCCGTAGCCTTGAACCCTGCTTCGCCTTTGCTCATAGTGGCGACATCGGAGAATGCCTTTTTAACCAACGATGCTACATCGTATGGTGTGATTCTTTCAGCTACATTTAGCGATTTTATTTATGTAGAGCCATTGCTCTACATAAATAAAATCGCATTCTCTTATATAAGCTGCTTTGAACGGTCCAAAAAAGAGACATCTAGCGGTTGCATGCGATGAGAGATGTGGGGTGGCAAAGAAAGCATGTGAATATGATTAGTCTTGCAATGTTCATAGATAGATAGCGATATGTGACTCGCATGATTGTCTAAAATCTATAAAACAGGTTCGTTTTCTGAAGGTTTTACATGTTCCTTAAAGTGCCCAAGCCACAACAGAAAAATATCCTTGTTTATCCAACCGCTATCAGAACATTTATAAATACGTGTCATTCTTTTCCGTGGGGAAATAAACATTGGCGGAATGTATCCGCCAGCTGCGCTCATTGCACAAAGAAGAGTTATATTTTTTCCTCTTTCCCAACTTGTAATCGACCCCACCCTCTTTTGTCTCTTGGCGGCCAACACTTTCTTTGGCTCTCGGACCGTTGAAATGCCGATTTCATCACAGTTGTAGATGTTTTCCGGTTGAAATTTAGATCTAGCATTCATTTCTTCCAACAGTTGATAGAACCGGTGAACCTCCGTCTTATTAAAAGCTGTGATCCTGTGAATACTCGTTGCCTCAGGCTTTCGTACGGATATGTCATTCCTTCTAGAAGAAAACGCGACCAGCCATTTTTGACAGCTTATTAAAATTATGCTTTAAGTGATTCTGCTTACTCGAATGCCACTTTTCTTATTTGGGTAGCGGTGCATCCATTAAAAGGTTTGACATATTTTTAATAGTGGACGCAAATTCTAGTTCAATCTCAGCCGTGAAAACTGTTGTTCATCCGAGGCGAGGTTTTTTGCATATTTTTAGTCTCTTAAGTAAACTAGAAAATTGAATTTTCATTGCAAGTGCAGCTTTTCTGATTGTATATCCCTCTTCATCGATTAGCTTGACAGCCTTCTTCAGCTGGCTTTGGCAGAAAGGCGACCTTCTCGGACGTGCTGTCACAATCTGAAACCATTGACACAACAGTTTCATTTTTGTGACTTTGTGCCGCCTCCGACGCCGCGTCAATTCGGAACGCCGTCTGTGTTCCCCCATCTCCGCCCTCCGCCGAGCACTCGGAATCACCGATGTCCGAGGGTATTTCTTCGTCGTCCGATTCAGACGACTCGTTTAAAACAGTCACCAAGCGCAAGAAGAAGCGCTCCGCCCCTCAGGCCTCTCCGCCCGCGAAGCGCATTCCAGCGCCCGTCGCGCCCTCTTCCGGCCCTAAGCCACTTATGTCGCTTGTTATCGAGCCTCAGTCCCTTTCTGTGGAGCCTCGATCTCAGGCCAGATGGCTCAACGTAATATTGCATTTACGCAGGCCCGTAATGTCGCGCGGGCCATCTGCGTTAAGGCGCCCTCTCCGGCCGACTATAGGGCCCTCATCTGCCTCCTTATGGAGCGCATGATACCGTATCACTCTTACGCTACTGACGAAGAGCGTCGTCTAAGAGCCGTCGTTCGCGGTATCCCGGTCGAGATCGAGAACGACCTAATAAAGTCCGACCTCACAGCGCAGGGCCTCCCCGTCGAAGAGGTCCATCGCCTTTATAATAAGCACACCAAGGCCCAATATCAAGTCTTGGTCATCTTAGCCCCCTCCCCCGCTTCACGGGACATTTTCAACATTAAACAATGTTGCTCCCTCACCGGTCTTACCATCGAGACCCTTAAGTCCCACGATGTGGAGTGTCACCGCTGCCAACACTACGGCCACTCCTCCCGTTATTGCCAGGAAAAACCGAGGTGTGTGAAGTGCTTCGGGGACCACGGCACGGCCGACTGTGACCGCAAGCTTCCTTGCGCCGCTCCTCCTGCCTGCCTCAACTGCGGGACCGAGGGACATACCGCAAATTATCGCGGCTGTCCTAAGGCTCTCGGCCGTCGGCACTCGTGGCGAACGGACGTGTGCGCGAGCTCCGCTCAACACTTTTTCTCATTGAACTTTTTGTTATTTTTTCGCTTGGTTTAGTACATATATATTATTATACATTTATTTAGTGCAATAGTGTGTAGGAAATTATTTTTAGACGTAGTTAATCTGTGTGGACCACGTGGCCTGATTAGTGAGTAGTTTTTTGACTTTTAATTAGGTATAGTTATTAGGTTTAATAGTGTATTAATTAGCTTAGGGAGAAGTGCGCCATGGACGCGGAGTGATTTTAATTTTGAACACTTTTTGGCACTTTCAATACGAGAAACGTTCGCGCGTAATTCTTCGTTACGAGAAACGTTCGCGTTCGGTAGCCATAGAAATGGAACCCGAGCAGGTCGAGGAGATCCTGAGGCGCAAGGAGCGTGAACTGGAGCTTCTCGAGGAGATGACCAGAGAGGCGGGTTTTACACCGCGGGCTTCGCTTCGGCGGTCCCCGCCGCCATCTGCCGATGTCGTGCCGCTGGTAATTACACCGGTCGCAAGCTCGAGCAAGAGGAAGTGGGACTCCCCGGAAGAGCTCGAAGAGGAGCTGCGACGCCGCGTAAGAGCGGCACCGGTGCGAGGAACATACACCCCGCCGCTGGGGGGGCATCCTCGCCAAAGAGAGCAGGAGGCGGAGCCGGTGCCAGCAACGCCGACGGAAGAGGAAGGTGCCGAGGTGACGATGACCGTTGGCCAGAAAGAGCCAACGGGGCTACTTGTGGAGCGCGCCAACAAGGCGGGAGAGGCGCTGATGGCGGCCGCGTCGTCGTCAACGTCCAAACTGAATAAAGCGGACATAGCCGCAATCGGGACCCAGGTGCAACGCCTTACGGCAATAGTGGCAACCCTGGGGGCCAAACTAGGAGAGGAACGCCTACGGGCACATAAGTTGGAGGGCGCACTGGCCCAGGCATCGGCGGCGACGACGACAGGCCTCGCGCCCGCCAGTGCCCCCACTATAATCACTAGATATGCGGATGTGTTAAGGGTCGGCGGGGGGGCGACTAAGCCGAAACCCGTGGCGGTAGGGAAGGTGCTGGCCTTCTACCCGAAGCCGGAGGCGGCAGAGAGTCTAAAAACGGCGGACGACACGAAGGCCGCCCTAAAGTCGAGCCTAGACCCGCGGGCTCTGGGAGTGCGGGTGTTCCTCCCGGGTGGCCCGCTTCACGCGGCCACAAAAGAGGAGGCTGAAAGCGCGCACAATTAAGAGTGCAGGAGCCTAAGGCGCGGAACCCGCTCGTTGCGGTCGTGGCGGTAGAAGGCCGGCGGGTGGAGGACGAAGCATTCCTAAAGGCACTGAGGACGCAGAACTTCCCGGAGCAGGAGAGCTGGGCCCCTAGCGACGTTAGAATAGCATTCAAGAAGAACGCCAGGGGGGGATCATGCACAACTGTAGTGCTCGAGTGCAGTCCCTCCTGGGGTGTAGGGGCTCAGCGCGTATACGTGGAGTGGGAAAGATATCTCACAAGGGACTTCGCGGACACGACCTGCTGCGCGAAGTGCCAGGCGTACGGTCACGCCGCTCGCTTCTGCAGAGCGGCGGCAGATGTGTGTGGCAAGTGTGGCGAGGAGGGCCACAGAAGCAGCGCCTGTGAAGGCTCAGTAAGCCAGTGCGCGACATGCAAGCGCGCAGGCAAGGAGGCGGCGAGCCACAGGACAGCGTCGGCTCAGTGCCCCGCGAGGCAGGCGGCGGAGAGGCGGTCCTTTGAAAGAACGAACTATGGAGTGTAGGACCGCCACCGCACGAGGAGGAACTCACAGCCGAGTGGGACAGCTCAATCTGCAGGGGTCCGAACTAGCGACGAAAGAGTTGTCAGCACTGGCTACGCAGCTCGGCCTTAAGATAGTGATGGTGCAGGAACAATACACGAGGGCCGGGCTGCCGGGACTCCTGCAGCAGGACGTCTCGGCCAAAGCAGGGATTCTGGTGCTGAGAAGGACAGGCATTTTAAGGATGCACCACTTATCGACCAGTCACTGCTCAGTGGCACAGGTGGAGCTGCGGACTGGCCTGGTATACCTGGTCTCGGCGTACTTCCAGTACAGCGAGAACATTCAATCACATATAAGCCACCTAGAACGGGTACTGGAAGCGCTGAAGGGGGAACCGGTCATTATCGCGGTGGATACCAACACCCACTCAAGTTTGTGGCCTAGCGGGGAGGAGCAGCTGAGGGGGCGCGGCAGGGCAGCCGAGGAGAGGCGGGAGGCTCTTGAGGCCTTCATTCTAGCGAAAGGCTTCATAGTATACAATTCGGAAGGAGAGGCGGAAACCTTCTGCTCGCCGAATGGTGCGTCCAACATCGACGCAACTCTCAGCACCAGAAGCGTGAAGATCGGCGACTGGCGGGTACACGAAGACGTCAGCACAAGCGACCACAGGCTGATTACCTTTGCGGTGCTAGGCACGCGTCTTGGGGGGGGGGCGAAGTGTGGACGAGGAGCCTGCGAGGTTTCGGGACCGCGGTGTGGACTGGGCGGCATTCAGATCGGACCTCTCGCTGCGCGTGGGGAGCATATCCTTTCAAGCGACGCACTATGGGGTATTAGAAGCAAAAAAACGGTCAAAGGTCGAAATCAAAATTTGTACCCAATTAGTAAATGAACCTTCATTTCTCATTGTTTAGACAGAATAGTTATGACGTCACGCCCCGATCACCTTACAAGTGTCATTCAATTTTGTTTGCCCCTCCGACAGTCGGAATTTAGTCGTTGTTCCTATCGCACGTCTTTGTTCTCGTCGCTTGTAAAAACGGAGTTTTATTAACCGCTATTGTAAGATTTCTGAGAAGTGAAGTGAAGTTTTTTATAATGGATCTTGAAGATCGAGGTATGTACTGTATTTTAAAACTTATATTCATTTGTATATCATTCATATAAATATTTTTTTTAATTTTATTAGCAAACATTAAACTTAGCATAAATTATAGTTTTATTTTTCCTTTTTTAGTGTTTTAGTTATAAAGTTCGGATAGGTTCGGTCAAAAATGATAGCACAAATATTAGCCTATCTTGTGTACTATCATTTAAACCAAAAACATAATCCGCCAACATCCGCCTTTTCGAAATATAGTTCTTTATATGAAACAGTAATTTAGGTACTAAATTTAAAATATTTTTTGTCTTCATAGGATTTGAAGAAACTGTCCGGGAGAAAAGTAGGACAGATCTCTACAACTATATAAAGCAAAGTTCTGGACGATTACTTGATGACAAGTTCGCATACATGGAGGATTGTGTCATTAGGGAAACTAATTGTCCAACTGAAAAAATAAGTAGTCTCAAAAAGGAATTGAAACTGTTCAAATGGCAGTTCAGACAAAAATGGACGGCGGCATCGTACAAAGAAGAATGATTCCTCCAGAACAATGCTAAGTGGCTTACAAGTACTATAAAGTTATCGGCCTGGGTAAAACAAAAGACTGGTCGGCCGCGGCCCTCAAAAGAGTTTGGGGAGTTAAGTGATCGCAGTAAACGGCGCAAAACAAAAGAACTCCGGGCGCAGGTACCCGATGCAACGTTAACATATGCTGCTCAAATGAGTCTAAGAGCCGCAGGAAAAAGCGATGCTTCGGCTATCATAAAAGAAATTACCAAGTCCCCGACTAGAGCATACAAAATACGTAAAGTAATCACACAAAACAAAGAAAAAAATATACAGCGGTTATCAACAATGGAAGCCTTATCAATGTTCGTAGAAGCAGGTTTGTCTCGAAGTTAGTACAATGTGATACGCAGTGCTAGAAAACAGCTCTATCCGTGTTATTCTTTGTTACAAAAAGCGAAAGCTGATTGTTACCCTAAGCCTGACTCATTTCATGTCACTGACACATGTGCTGAGATTAAACTGCAAGATTTGGTAGATCACACTGCTTCACGGTTATGTACATACCTCGAAGAAGTTTTGAAAGGACTTTCAAGTGAAGAGAAGGAAAATTTAAAACTTATATCAAAATGGGGATGTGACGGATCTCAACAGACACGGTATATGCAATCCTTACAAAATACGAACGAAAGCTATGACGATGCAAATATATTCCAAAGCTCGTTTTTGCCTTTGAGATTACTTGTTAGTCATAACAGCCAAAGTAAAGTCATTTGGCAAAACCCCGTCCCGTCGAGTCCAAGATTTTGTAGACCTATTCGAATCAGATTTGTGCATGAAACTAACGACATCACAAGAAATGAAATTAGTTATATAGAAAGTCAAATTGAAAAATTAAACCTATCTGAAATATTTTTGAATAGTGAAGTGATAAAAGTAAAGCATCTGTTTTTATTTACTATGGTGGATGGAAAAGTCTGCAATGCGGCAACTAATACCCTATCAACAATGCGTTGCTATATTTGCAAAGCAACATCAAAAGATTTCAATAAATTAGAAACAAGAAGAGAAGAAGACCCTGCGACTTTGAAGTTTGGTCTTTCAATATTACATGCGAGAATAAGATTATTTGAATCGATTCTGCATTTGGCGTACAAATTACCTACACAAAAATGGCA